CTGATTTGCCTTTCCCTCTTGTTTTCACTCTCAAAGCCCCGGTGCGCTTCCTGCACACTTTGAGAAAAAAGGATTTCACTGTGATTGTTTCTGACAGCCGGACCTGCAGCTCTGCTATGTCAAAGGCTCCGGCTTGGTCAAAGAAATTATAATATATTACCAAGACTCAAAAGCAGGAAGCAAAAGATCTTAAAAATCTTAAGCTTAGCTACATTTAAGTCTTTTTTTAAGGCAATCGGTAAAATTAAGATCAGTTAGATATATTTGTTGGATACCTACAGTGTACAGTATCACAGTTAAAGTATGCTGAGGAAAATGACCCCTGGGAATTATATTAATGACTAGATTCCTAATATAATACTGATGTATGATTGCATTAAACTGTTGTAGCTTTTTGAGGTGGAGCTGGGTTTACTTTAGATACTGCTATGTAATATAATTATGATAACGCACCAGATTTTATACATTTATTGTTTTATTGTAAAATCGTATTCACGAGAATTAATTGCATTAAAAGTAGGACGGTATAAAGCAGCATAAAATCAAAATACTCAAGTACAGTAAATACAACTAAATTGTACAATGGCACAGTTCTCCCTTTCTACTCATGGTCCATTTTACAATGGTCAAATTATGTAAACATATATTTGTTTTTTTAATAAATAAAAAATAATCTTGTAGTCTTGTTCTTCAAGCACTTTTATCCAGATCATTTCATTATCAACTCATTTTGATGACTGTGATAATATCTTAAATGCCACACTCCTACAAATATGTGCATTAAATGTATAAAGTAGCTACATTGTCCATTGGGGTATTATAAATAGGGGGAATGCAACCATGAATTAATCATAAACATAACACACTAAATGTCAGCATCTCCACTGTCTAGTGGAGTAGAGGAAAAGTAAACCTGGGTGTCTTATAATGAAGTCAACCATAACAAGCCATAAATAACATTCTGTCCTTTTGGCTGGCAAATATAATTAGCTGATGTTCACGTTTAATAGGCCATTTCAATGAGGTGGTGTGAATATCACTGCTGCAACCTATAGGACCCTTAAACATACGAGTAGGCAGAACCCAGCAGTCTCATCTTATTGTATCTTTGTTCTTATATAGTTTACTCATGTTTGAAAATGGTACGATCTTCTTTGTTTAGGACATTTATCACAGACTTATTAAGATAAATCCATTTATGTATGCAAATGCAGAGAGGAAAACCAGCTTTTAATTGTAACTGCATATTGTCTGTATTTGTAGCAGGTTACAGCAGCCTGTCAGCCTCTAACTCTAGAGTCTATACTGTCAGGGGAATCCTGCCGTTCAACCATGTAGACAGATGTTGGACGTACAAGATGTCAGAATCTCTTTGCTGTTATATTTTTCCTAAAACCTATTAGGTCTACTCAGGGGAGCTGTTCAGTCCCTCCAGAGCAAAACAGTCCAACAGTAAAATAACAAATGTCTCATACTGTATGCTGCATGGTTTTATTCAGGTGTTCACTTGAGATTCATAAAACACAAAGAGAGCTGATGTGAAGGGAGAGCGAGATGGAGTGTGTGTGTGTGTGTGTGTGTGTGTGTGTGTGTGTGTGTGTGTGTGTGTGTGTGTGTGTGTGTGTGTGTGTGTATGTAGGGATCTTATCGTGACCCCTTGCTAGTGTTTCATGGGCCCATTTGACCAACGTAGCCTATCCTGTGCCCCCATTTATTGTGATTGTATGGAGTTATTGAGGAGTTGGACTTATTATTCCGGGAGCTGCCATGGCTATCCGACTACCAATTACCGTAGCCTGCAGCCATGTATAGCCCACCCTGACGTATTTTGGCGTAGGGAGGGGTGAGGGATGCTGCAGAGGGGGATGTGGGGAGGGATGTAGGGGTCCTCAGGAGACCTGCCACAGCAGCACGCCGTTAATCAATCCGATTTAGACCGGACAGGGACACACTTAGTCGCTGCTCCCGCCAACACTGCCATGGCGGGGGAGAGAAAATGTGTACGTGACCTGCATCTAATTGGAGTGTAAGGACACAAAAAGATGGATAGATGGGTCCAGAATGAAGAGATAGCGTTGGGGTTGCAAATGGGAAAGAGGTGATGGAAGGGGCGTGAGGTGTGGAGCGAGAGACAACAATTAATGGAGTGATGTGAGTTGAATTAAAACAAAGGAAATGCACCAATTCATTTCTGTCCCCAGGTGGAATAAAAATGTTCACCTTCTTTACGTGGTAGAAACGCCTGTATGGATAAATATATAGCATTGAATTGATTAAATGGGTGGGAGAAAAAAAATCACCATTTAATGGAGGATGAGTAAAAATGTGTTGTTTGGTCTTTCTTCATTTGTCCTATTGATGACTGGTGGAGATGATGGACGAGAGCAGGAGACAAGGATAGAGTGAGGGTATCATATTTGCATTCATTAATATGTATGTGCTTGTGTACTTTATTTTCCAGTATTAAATGGATCGTCTGCTTGAATAGTTGCTTACTTACCAAATGATAGTTCAATTTATTATCAGATTTGCTTATTTGATGCGAAAACATCTTGGAATTTAACAGAAACCCCTTCATGATGAATAAAGAAAAAGCTTTTTGCACATCTTTTGTGTAAAACATTAGGACTGGGAAGGCTAATGCAGGTGTTTCTTTGATTTAGGTCCTAATGAAACCTCTTCTTAAGAGCAACATGTATGGGAACATTATGATCTTGGACTATGCAGACATCATTAGTTCTGCGGTATCATATTTGTGTTAAGTGCTATGTAAACACGTGTGGTAATCCTCAGATGTAACGACTTCCTTTTTAACAGCTGGTACTACCATTACAGCTCCAGCATCAAGTTCAATCCAATGTTTTAATCAGACATCCTCCCACATAAACCTGTCCAGATGGAGATAAAAGCGTGAAGAATGGCTCATCGGACGGTATTACTTTTTAAAACTGTGTCAGGCTCCAGGTTGTGTGTTCTTCACACTAGATGATGCATCTTCAGTTTGTTTGTTTTGAATACCAGCAATTGCTGTATGGCAGACCTGAATGGCAGTTTATGAAGCCGACAATAGCAGGCTTTTGTTGTAACTGTGTGGTGTTGATTACATTGATTGGTCATTTTGAGGGTGTGGTGTCATTCAACCCTCTTTGTCCTTGCAAATGTGTATTTTTCATGTTTAGATTAACATATATACTGTATATTAATTCGTTTTTTGTCATATTTAAATGTATTTCAGACAGTTTCCTCATGTTATTTAAAAATTCAAAGATAACGGTGATGTTAACCAATTTAAATTGCTCACTGCCACTCACTCGCTCGCTGTACATTTATTTTAGTTATAGGTGGCCAGATAAAATGTTGTTACATAAAATTGTCAAGCCGCTTACTGTACCACATAAAATGTTCCACGTATGGCTGTGAAGCATTTTTGTAAGTTTCAGCTCACTGGTTCATTATCACCAGCAAAATCTTAGGCTGTAGCAGGCTGGTCAAAAAGTTGCTGGTAAACCTAGAGAATTATTTAGCAGCCAAGGAGTCAGATATTTTTCTCAGGAGTTGGTGAAGAGTAGACCTAAATGTATAGGATATGATTAATCAGGGGCACACATTCATGCTCATGTTGCTCCATATCCATGACAAATAGGTAACTGTTTACCATTAAGTTCACCAGCGAAAAGGTGAACATATGCCAACCTTAGAAAACTGAATACCATAATTGCCTGAAATAGTTGGTAGCTAATGTCATAAACAATTGTTGAAACTAGCTGCAACCAAAACTATCCAGATATCAGCACCCAGTGGGTGTATGTCTGCACGCTCATTGTGTTTACTGATATTGCTCCACGAATGAACTGATGTCCTCCCTGATGCCCTTCCTGCAATCCCCATCAGCCTCTCCTCTGCAACAGGTGGATCAGGTGTGAGAGCAACAATCCTCTAGAAAATTGATGGCGGCTAAGAAAGGTTGTGCTCTCAGATAGAGGTTTGAGGCCAGAGATCAGTGCACATCTCATCTATCTAACCAGTGGACAGGAAGGCATCTGTACTGATGACATTACACCAAGATCACAGAATGAAACAGGAAATAAAATGGCACCAGAAACATCCAGATAACATGAACATACTGGTTTTAGGGTCATAGATGAAAAAGATAAACCTATTAAAGTCATCAGCCTGTGAAATAAAACACTTAATCTTAAACATTTCCTGTTTCAATTAGGATTATTCTTAATAACCACTCTGCGTTAAATCACTGTATATATGGATAAATACTTTCTTAATGTTACATACTAATCCACATTTCTGCCATGACTATCTCCTCAAACCAGCAATTAACATTTAGATAGCTGTAGTGAACATGCCTCCTTTGCAAGTGATCATAAGTGTATTGGGGCTACAAGAGGAGCTGAGATTCAGCAGAAAGGATTATGGGAGCAGAGGCTCGTACGGACATATGGATGAGACTGATCAATCAATTTCCCTAATGAAATATTGCTAGCTAACTAGCCAGTAAAAATCAATCATTCATATTTATTCAAGATAATAGCCGTGAATGCATCTATATACGTCAAAGCTAAATGCAAAATCTACATCAAAGTGTAGCATTGATGTATTTGTGTATTTTATTGCAATACATTTTTTATTTGAATGAGCTTTATTGATATGACATTTCTAAAGAAGAAGTTGTAGAGAATGTAAATAATATGAAATAGTGTTTGTAAAGAGTAGCTAGTAGTAGCTGAGTTGTTTTGCCTTTACAAAGTAACCTGCCTCACATTTACATGCTGAGGCTCTAACTCTATATTACATTTCACTTCAAAAAGTAGCTCAGACTAAAGAAATTATGTCAGTGGAGAATTGCGTTTTCCCATCAAATTCTGTGCTGTTAAAGAAGTTTTTCAAGCTATTAAAACTAGAATTGGGCAAAATTCTTTTTTTTCCATATTTCTATTCGTTTTTCTTTAGCAGCCTGTTAACACAGTCTTTCCTCTTTGTCTCAGGTGAGGGCCAGTGCAATCGCCCAAGATGCAGATCAGAACTACGACTATGCCTCCAACAGTGTCATCCTGCACCTGGATGTGGGGGACGAAGTGTGTGTGCAGCTGGATGGGGGAAAAGTTCACGGCGGGAACACAAACAAATACAGCACCTTCTCTGGCTTCCTCATCTACCCCGACTGACAGTATACCCACATTTATATACTCTCTCTCTGTTATCAAGCAAAACGTTTCCTCCCCTTTCTGCATCTAACACCACCATGACGCCATGATGTAATTTGTCATTTCAATGCTGTTAAATACACAAAACATGTAATACCACAAACACAATTAACAAATAGACAATGTGTGTTAAAATGAATATAGTATTGTATATATTACCAGTTAACATTTACTTCTGATACACACTTGTGTAATCATTATTCTGTGCCATGTACAGTATGTGTAAGCATGGCTAAAACAAATGGCTCGCATCTGTTTCACATGCACAATCAGCTTGTACACACGCACACGAGAGGTGCTCACATGAATAGAACTCTACCTATCAGTTGTTGCGCTGAGAAAAGATGACCATTTCAGCCATCGGTCTGAAATCGACTGAAATGATCTCTGAATGTAGACTGTAAATCGAAGTGCGACTGCAGCTTCTCGCCTTCACTGTGAGAGGGATTTCCAAACGAGAAAACTCATGAATATATTGATCCTAGCTGATAATACAGCCAACACCATGAACATAATCCAGTGTGTAGTATGTCTGTGTTCATGCCTGTGAGCGAGCGTACGCGTGTGTTTACCCTTCAGTTTGTGTTGGGGTGTAAAAGCATCACGTAGCTGTTAGTTTGACTTGCACAGTCTCTGGCTCCTGTTAAGGAAGGGGGTGTCAGGTTGTTGGTAACAGTCCCTTAACACACACAGTATATCGATACTGAGGTTTAGCTTTGAGATTTTCCCTGAGCCAGAGCTCATAGCAGAGCCTCATGATGTCCTGCTAATGAGCTGCGGCTTCCTCTGCAGCCTCATCTGTAAGTCACACTCACATCTGCCATCCACAGTTTGCTGTATGACTTTGCTGAAATAGTTTAACCTTGTGTGAAAAAAAGCTTGTTTGTTTTCTTGCCGGGAGTTGGATGAGAACATTGATATCAATCCGATTCTGCCCATTCACTGTAAAGGCTGGGTTATAGTAGAAAAAAAGTGGTTTGATTTCTCCAAATTCACACAACACCACCAACTAAGTTATGACGCAGGCAGCGTTAGACCAGAACGTTCTGTAGGTTCTGCAAGATAAAGATACTCTTTTTGTCTATGGAGTCTCGTAACTGTGAAGCTTAGATAGCTGCCTGAGTTTCCCCTCATAAACATAAACTGCTATCAAAGCATTGGAAAGGTTGTAGAATTAGCTTGCCTGGGACTTTTGAAAGTCTGATAAAATGCCTACGTTGTCTGTTCAATTCGTACAACAACAAAAAAATAGAAACAAACATTTGTAATGGTTGGCATATCTTTTAAAGGTCTTTGTGCTAAGCTAAGCTAGCCGGATGTTAGCTGACACTTCCTATTAACTTTACGGACATTAAACTTGTGTCTCATCTAACTCTGCAAAAAAACAAATAAATAAATTGTCAAGCTATTTCTTTAATTGTACTAGTAAGTAACCCATATAAGGATATATTTTAAAATGCATGTGACTCTTGATGTTATACTGTCATAAGCCATAACCATAGGTTTTCCGTGCCTTACACTATATTTTTCATTCTTATACATGAGACATGCAAACAAACTGGTACAATAATAAATCTGATGAGGATTTCCATTGAAAACCTCTGCAACAGTCCATGCAAATGTTGTCAACAACTTTAAGAAATGCAGAAGCTAACTGAGGACCATGATGGTGAATATATGTCACTGGATGTAACTGCTGTAAATAAAAGCCCAAATGGGGACCAGGCTTTGTTTGGTTGGTGGGAAACACCTATGGGAACAACAGATGCATGTCACTGTGTTGATCAAAGGTTGCATCCAGTCAAGTTATAAATAGGTAGATGTAACCAAATTATTATGTATAACAATTCTATTTTTTTCCATAATATAATGCTTAAATGGGTGTAATATAAAACTCCTAGGTTTATAGTAGTTTAAGTGCCAATGGAAGAAAACTTGGCTCAACGAGTCACACAGATTCAGCTTTGAAGCCTGATAGCATGACTGTACCTCAATGAGACTTGGGTGTGGGCTTTTACGATTATTCTTGTACTGTGACTGAAATCCCCTGCAAATGTTGTGATGTACAAAATACATTTATCATGAGTGACTTTACATGATCTGTGTCATGCTGCATTCTACTGTGTGTGTTTTTATGGCGCTGTTACCTTTGTTCACGAGCAGTCTGGGTTCATGTTGCTGTACTTTGCAAGCTGAGTTGTGTGTATTTGTTATGTATGAAATCAACATTTTCTCTGCCTTCTACCCATTCTCTAATGCTGAAACACAATTAAAAAAAAAAAAAATTCTGAAATTATTTTTCTGTCACTGCTGTAAATTAGGTGCTTGTCTTATTCTTTCCTTGTACTTTTCATCCTATATCCAGATAGCTTCACACACTGCTCAGGGTATGTATTTGGTTCTACAACCACCTTAAGATTTTATCAGCTTTTGTCAAACCTATCACAGAGCGAGGTTCAGATATGAAAACAGCTGACAAATATCTTCTATTACTTTAAACAAGAGCCAAACAATAAACATAAGGCATATCTTTGTTTCCTCATTTAGAATAAATAATAAGTTACATCATCTGATTTTTTGGACATTATTTTGCCATTGGTATTAAGATGCCTAAGTTAACAACTTAAAGACAAATAAACAATGAAGCAAAAAGGGGGGGGGGGCAAAGAAAAGCCAAAAGGTCACCCAAGTACCCAACTTATTTGCTTGATTGATATATAATTAACATAAAGACCTTTANAAAAAAAAAAAAAAGGGGGGGGGGGCAAAGAAAAGCCAAAAGGTCACCCAAGTACCCAACTTATTTGCTTGATTGATATATAATTAACATAAAGACCTTTAAAACATTTTAATTTGATACAGCATTTCGGGGCCATTCTGGAAAAAACAAGCACAGATGTTCATTTATTAATTGTGTTTAATTAAAACGGACCAAAACGAGAACAAAATAAAGAAAAAGTAAATGATACACTGCTAATAAACACAATTTGCGTGAAGTTCTCCTCCCATTTAATGCAAAAGCTTTTTTTTTAAATCATGGAATATAGCACTGTTAGAATGTGCAGCGTTATATAGAGTGGCGAAGTCACGCCCATCTACTTCCGGTCCATGGGACCTTATTTCGGAAAAATTATGTATTGAAGTCTGAAGTCTATGGAGAGAGAAAACTTATCTTTCGATCCCATTTGAATTGTGCCACGAATTACACATTGATGTTTGTCAATCTTAAAAAATAATTTCCATGTCAAAAAAGTCACAGTTTGTCGTAAAACTGCTTAAATATAAAATAAAATAAAATACGCAACTAGAAAGACTACAAACTACACAATTGTTTTTTGTTTTTGCGATAGCTAAGATAACTAACAAGATGCCTGTGTGCTTAGTACCAGGTTGTTATCATACCAGCAATGGGTCTTGCTCGTTCTTTCACTTCCGTTCCCGTCTGATGAAAGGATCAGGAGTGGCTGGATCAAGTTACCTAGCTAGTAGCAAGCACGTTAGTTAGCATTACAGCCTTAGCCTTGTCATTTGTATTAGCCTTAACATGAAGTAACATTAAGTAACCCAAAATGTTAAACAGTAACAGTAGTAGTCATATTTCGTGAAACCTTTGAAGAGTACTGTCACACTGCTGTTATCATTCTATAATACACCATTTAAGCCCGGGGGAGAAATGCTACCAGGGTCATTCTACAGAAAAGGTGGAAGTACTGTCACTTACTTTTGCAGACACCTAAATACATGACGTTGACCTAATACTCACATTCATTATATATATTGAATAAATAGAGATTGTCTTTGCAATGGCACTAAATAAAAAAATGAAAAAAATTGTTTTATACATAAATTGCAATTTATTTAAAATGCCAAGTTCAAGGAACTGCTTTGTCACCTTCATCATACATGGAAGTGGAGCCTATAGTTTTCATTTAAAACATTTTTTTAAAAATAAATAAATCTCATTCATATTTACATAACATTACAAGCATTAAATATAACACTGAAATGGTAAAAAAAAAACGCAAATTATTATTAATAATATCCAATAAATGTCAGTCACACAAAATTACGTCATTGGTGTTACTGCTACACAAAACGCTTTTATTTTGAAGTAATGTACTGTCTCTGAAGTGCCACCTGTAACAAGAGATCTGAGGCAGTGCAGTGGACAAAGACATAAGGAAAGTCAGATACGTCTTACTTTGTTTGTTAATGGTGTCATTTTATCTTAAAATTTTACGTGCGTCTTTCAAGTCATTAGTGTTACTAATGTCATAGCCCTGAACATTTGAATGGGAAAATGTATTGTATTGAAGAGTTAAACGATTTTGATATTGACTGAAGCCATATTTGGTCTGACACATTGCAGCCATTTTGTTAAAATGGTAGTGTTTTCTCCAAATTGTCACTGGTGTTACCGTCACTGGTGTTACTCTTCTTCCTGGTAACACGTAACACCAGTGACGTTCCTATGTAAATAAGCATTGTATAATGTATAAAAATAATTAAAATACTTTAAGCTCTACTTGTTGTGGATTCATCAAGTTAAGAGTTAGTTATTGCTATTTAACAGGTTTTAGATGTGTTTAGAAGGAATATATTTCAGCAGATTTGTATCACCCAGATTCCACCTTTTCTGTAGAATGACTCAGAAATAGACACATCATGTCACGCTCTGTATATATATTTTTATTTTATTTTTGAAGTGTCACGGTCTGTCTGTTTTCCTGTTTTACTTTGAAAAGTGTTCATCCTCGATCTCATGTCTGTATTTGCTTGCTGTCTCGAGCCTCATCCCAATACCCCTCCTCGACTCCTCCTTTCCCTTACTCGCTTCCCTTCCTTGCGTCTTAGCTCCGCCTCCGTACGATGCGAGCGAGAGACACGAGGAGGTGACACGAGGACAGAGGAGTCCTCAGGTATTAATTGGGATGTCCTCGTTCACTCAAACGTCACTTTTAAACGAAGTCTGTTAATGATGACATGTGCACAGCTGTGTCCCCTCTCATCGGGCTTGACTGAATAACCCCTTAGATCCGGCCCATTTCTCGTTAAATATGTATTTAAATGAATGAATCTTTCTCTTGTTAGTAAAGGAATTCAATGTATGATGGTTGGTCCTGCTTTTGTGTTCCGTTTTGGTGTAAAATGTAGCTTACATTTAAATAAAAATATAATTATAGTAATGTGAAAGCCTTTGCTCTGAAAATGTGTGTCCTGTAGGCTGTAGATCCCCACATTCACCACAAACCCACATTCAGGACTGTGACTTTTAAATAATTTAACTCCTGAATATCTTAACACAAAACTATAAAATAATTGTTATTTATCAAGATCTAGCCATTTAGTGACGGTCAAGATCATTAAACATGACTTCAATTGTTAGTATAACCTTAAGAAATGAATTGCACATAATAATTCCCACGGAGCTGTGAGCACTTATACATTTATGTGATGCTTTTCCACTCATCTTCCAGTTCTCCGTTTTCCTCTGTTGAAATGGACCAGCTGTGAAGGTGGGGGCGGGGCTTTTCTACGCGAGTAGTGAAAACACTTCCGCGTAGTCTGCTCGCGTGTATCCTCCCTTTCGTCTCCTCCCTCACCCCTCCTCGACTCCTCTGTGTGCATTTCAGCTATTGGGACGTCCTTCAACATGGCGTGTCTTGATCGATTTCCGGATCAAGTCCTGGAGGAGGGGAAAAGAGGAGTCGAGGATGGGTATTGGGATGAGGCTTCTGTATTTTCCCTCCTGTCTGATTATCTGATTCTGTTCATCTGGTGCCTTTATGTCCCCCCCCCCCAGCTGTGTCTTGTCTTGTTTGGTCTTGTATGTATTTAAGTTAAGATTTTTCTGTTGGTGTTTGGGGGTTCTTTGAGTTCACAAGGGACAGAGTTTCGGTCTGTGTTGATGTATGTAACCTTGAATAAAGTGAAATCTTAGTTTAAGCCTTTGTTTATGCTGCACTTGGGTCCTACCTGCCCTGATCAACCTTAACACATCTTTAACTCCCAACACCTCTACTCCCAGCAAAAAGTAGTGATGGTGAGATTAAACTTCATGAATCTTTTAAGCTTTTCAGCCAATTGGTTCGCAAAAGGATTCATCTCATGAGGCTTCATTTGAACACAAAACCCTCTGTTGGTCAAAGAGTGTAAAACAGGCAGATATGAGATCTCATCAGTGCTATCTTTGTTATCCCAATAGTTACCAAAGTTATTTAACACTAACCCTATGAAATCATATTTTCATGTAATCAATGTGTATGTAATCTCGTTGTTTTCTTTCTGTTTGTAGATTGCTTCAATGGGGATGTGTCATTTAGCGCAACACTTTCATTTAAAACCAGGAAAGTAAGCAGTTTAGGAAACCAAACTAAGTGATGTGTTGTGTCCATCTAATCCGCTGAGCTTTGCCTCAGCTACGTTACTGCACACACACACACACACACACACACACACACACACACACACACACACACACACACACACACACACACACACACACACACACACACACGCACACACACACACACACACACACACTGTCTATCTCACACATAC